GTTATGGTTTTCAATCCCAGTGACGTGAACTTCGTATCGTTTGACATATTTTTCTACTGTGTACTTATAAGCTGGTTGCATTTATTACATTTAGATCTAAAAAACAAATTTGGTGAAACGAGGACATAATTTAGAGGCACAATACATGTCTTCATTTTATTAACCTTATCATCATTGATTGACTTTCCAAATTATCGATAATAATGAACACTGAATAAGAGTCAAATATATTATACCTAATAATTTTATTTGTCACTTTAAAGAAAAACAATAAATTCACTTTATAAAAACCCCGCGGCATAAATTATATTTACGACCATAATTTGCTTTAACAACAACAATCAATTCGAAATATTATTGACTATACTTATCTTGCATTTTAAAAGGAAAGTTCGCGAATACTTATTCTAAAAATATCAGCAGAAACGGCCCATTCACATTCATAAAAGCATGTGTTCATGTATATATGTTCTATGTTTACAATTGCCTGTCAGTTTTGTTTTGTATGCAGTTATCCAGTATATTTTATGAAATTCATTACGTTTAATGTAGTCTCTAAGTTATTTTAAATATATTAAAAAAAAACAAATGATTACTTGATCCATTTTATTTGACTAATTTATTGTGCACCTTTCTTAACGTCTCTGGACCAATTTTGTAATATCGACTGGCGAAAACTGCCTTTTGGCATTACGTGTAATAAATACTAACTAATATTAACTAATAAATGCACTTGACATAAACACAAATAAAAATATTAGTAACAAATCATAGAATAGACGCATTTGATTTTCAAAGTACCGATTTTTAAAACAGATTTAGTTTACCTACTTCACATCAATATGAACGTATACGGCCGCCCATGTAGGTTAAATAAAAGACATTACAATAAGTTTTCAAAAATTGAGAAAACAGATGGAAACATTTGATCACGTGATCCATTAGCTTATTAAAATTCGTTAACCAACAGGGTTACGTTGTCCACGCCTATGTTAGAAGTATCCATAATCCAAATTCAAATATTTACCTTACATGATAAATTCGTACAGTTTCAAGTGGACTAACAGGAGGAAAAAATTAAAAAAAAAACTACTGTTTCCAATGAACAACAAGAAATACTTATCATATGTGATAAATTATTTGGTCAGTTGGTTCGTTAAACAAACAAAATAAATTTATGTGTTGCATGTTATTGTGGCATTTATGAGTGGTTTTTGTTAAATTTCATTTATTTACTAAAAAATAATAACGTAAGCGGAAAATCCCCATGAGTAAACAATGATTGCGAAGGCTAACGGAACAAAAAATGTGAAAGCATTTCTTATTGCACGTTATGTAAACATTTAGTTAATTAGTTCATCGAGTACAAAAAAAGAAAAATTATAAACATGTTGTTTACTTCTATACGTGGATAAATGGAAAAAATAATCCCGGAATACGTAGTACAGTTTTATCAGGCAACGGGATATTGCATTCTGTGTACTTTCGTTATTGTGCCGAACGAAATTCGTTGCAACAGTGGTCGCTAATAATTTACGTCGGCCGGCAATGAATCACCGCTCACGGACAAATGTTAGTACTGCCGCTTTACGTAAATTGAACAATGTTCATCCAATTTCAGACGCGCGAAATGTTAAAATATCACGACCACGTTTGTATTGATCACGATTACGAATATGTAATGTTTACATACTTATGTCGAACATTATCTTTAAAGTGTACGGAGTCACTTTAAAGATAATAATGATCAAATAGTTACACTTTAAAGATTTAAACTTAGAAAGAAGTTATAGTTTAAAGATAATAAGTTTCGAAAATTATAATGTTCGAATGAAATTATCAATGCTTATGAATGAATTATGCAAACGGCAAGATGCTAACGGATTCTAACGACATTCATGTTGAATTAGTTTTATATATATTTATAGTGTACCTTTAAATGTCCGTCTATGATTATATGGATTATCTACGACTTTAGGTCTCGTGCTCACTTTTGCTTCTTGTACAATTAGTATTTCTCCTTATAAAACAATGTCGTAGGTATGTAAACTACAAGCCTTCCATGATTATATTAACTAGTTATTCTTTAATAATAACTTTTTGAATTTTTCATTTCGCCTAAATAAGTCAATGACGGCAGCCGAGAAGTATTATTACATACTAGCTGCTGCCCGCGACTACGTCTGCGTAGAATAGGCTGAAGGCGTAACATTCAGACAAAAATACAGATATACATAAAATATGGATATAAATTATAGCCTGTTTTATTTTGATGTGTAAGCAATATTATTGTAAAGTTCCATTAAAATCCATTCAGTAGTATTTGCGTGAAAAAGTAACAAACATCCATCCATACATACAAACTTTCGCCTTTATAATATCATTAAGGATTATTATATCTTTCAAAGTAAAAACACACAATATAAATTAAAGAAAATTCCATATTGAACCAAATTATATATCAATTACATTAATCATTGCTTAATTGAAGTAGTCAATGATTGTGGATATTAAAGTCAGTCGTAAACGAATAAAAAAATAAGTCAGGTAGGTAAATTGAACCGGCAATCTTTTATTTATTAGTACCCTATTAAAAGTTGGAAGAATAAGGAAAACGGCTGAACTAGTTAAGAATTTTAAGGGGGCGATATACAGAAAAAGTTGATGAAACTTCATCCTTTCAAAAGCATGTATTTTTAACACTCTCCGTGAACTGTGATCGTTATGGTAGAGACATTTATTTATTATGGAAAGTTCATTCGGAGTAATTGATAACATTTAGTTGTATACGTAAAGCTTCATAATATTCAGCCGAAAAAAATCCAAAAACGATTAAACGATAAAAACGTCAGTTGCTAAATTCAAAAAACTTGTTATGGAAAGTTTGTGTGTTAAAAGCAATTATAGTTTTATTGATTATTTAATTGATAACACAAATGAAAATTAATTGATCGTGAAGTTGAATTTTATATACTGTAAATATATTTTTTTTTTGTGAAATTATGTTAAAATAATTTTCTCTCTTTCTTTGGTTCTTCTCAAGTCAGTGACATTTTTTTCCGCCACGGTGTTAGTATTTTGACAATCAACAAGAAAGTGTAATGCTGCTATATTAAATAAAAATGTTTGACGACGTATATTGCTATTTAGTATTTTCTAATTGAAGACATGGTTATTTAACGCAGGCTTATTTTTATATGAAATTCACGTATACAAACGTGGTCAATATTTCAATAATTGTAAAAAAATCGTATAATTCCAATAATACTATGCGCTGCTTTATGACTTTGAACGTTTTTTACATTTTATTAGCTTTAAAAAATGTTTTTAATTCCTAGACATTCCTATGCATGCTGTAAAGCTTTCGGAATACATTAAGTAAAATAATTTATGTAGGTATTTAACGATAACGATTTTGTGCATTCAATGGAAGATAGCTAGCAGCTGTATATTTAATTTCGATGTGGAGACAATGTGAGATCCAAGACTGTTTTACTTTTGAAGACGACGTTGTATCGCACTTCACTTATTAAGAATATTTAGAATGTTACGATGCCTAAAGCACCGCTTTATTAAATGAATAAATTTATATTTGTATGATTTTCAAAGATTATTTTTACACAGGAAGTAAGTAAGATATTGGGCAAATCCTTTAAATTATTAATTGCAATAAATATTAACAAAATATACATTTGAAAATGAAAATTTGTCATAAAATGAACATTTACTATGTTACATCTAATATTTTAGTCATAATGTGCTCAAAATTATTTCAATACTGATATTTAAAAAATCATGTATTTTTTTAATATCATTTGCTAAAATACATCGATATACTTAGCTCAGATAAATTTGATTAACTATTAACTGGTCTCAGCTTCTCAATGTCTATTGAACGTAGATTATTATAAACCATAATCCGTAGCGAGTGCTTGTCAGACACAGAATGTACGTACAGCAATAGTCTAATTGAGGACAACTCCACTGCAGAACGCATCTCATTGAAGCATTCAGGGGCATAATTGCCGGTCACGTGTGCCTATCCGCGTATAACACGAACAGTGTTATAGTTTATTTCGGACATGCGCGTAACTATAGTTTTTTGTTTCTTTAATGAGTTTTTTTTCTTCTTGTAGGGTCCGTTTCTCTGTCCGTTAATATATTAATATCCTAAGGAGGCAATTTTTGTATATGACTACAATCCTTGTGTTATTTCTTAATATACGCATTTTGGCTATAGCTATTTTATAGTTAATAAATTATTGTATTTGAAACATTCTCAGTGTTTTCCGTTATCGATCACTCCGGTGACGGCAAGTGAATAATATATGACAAGTACAATATAGTGACTAGTGTATAAACTAATACACAGTTTTGAATTCAGGGTTTTTAATGCAATATTATATTACAATACAGAACAAGTAGAAGAAGACAAAGATTCGCAACTTTATTTCTTGATGAAGTAGAAAAAGCTCCAACAATGCTATCCTAATTTTATAGGGAGTAAATTAAAATGTATGTAAAAAAATAAATATTTTATTTCACACGTGGGTTTAAAAATAGTAAGGAAAATGAAGATAACATTAATCGTAGTTTAGAACTCTCGCTTTTAATTAATGAGTTCAAATTGCAGTGTAGCCAACAATGACATTGTCAATTTTAAGTGCTGTTTTATCACGCGCTCATCGGCGAAGGAAAACATTTGGAGGAAACCTGCATGTTTTCAAAATGATAACATCTCAAAGATATGTGCATTCCGCCAATCCTCAATGAGGCCCTAATACCCCCAGTACAAAAGCGGCCCTTACGCAGCAGTGTGACATGTATAAGCTATACTTTAATTAACTTTTATAAACTTGGAAAAGTCGGAGGCAAATATAAACATGGCTGCCAATCACTACAGCAATATTACTTTGTTTATTTTCACCTTAGTGGAGGTATATAATATTATCTTTGGAAATCATCAAGACATAACTTCTTACGTATTTTATTTTTTCCAGGAATATTACCTGACAGGTCAAACCGAATTGAAGACATTTACCTTCGCTACTACAACGGGTACGATACCTTTTTTATATAATTATTTTGATGAGTTAAATCGAGTAAAAATTTAAATATATAGAAAAAGTACGAAAAGATTGTCGCCGCTGTGGGAATCGAACCCACGTCTTCGGCATTCGCGGCCTGACGCTTTAGCCACTAAGCTAAACAGATTACCACACTGACGAAAATCTTAACGTCTTTTATCTACATTGTTTTTTAGCATTTGAAGAGTTAATTCAATTAAAAAAGTAGACAAAGGTGAATATATACAATAAATTTTATGCTTTAGGTCTTTAGTTTAACTGTTTAGTTTGCCACAAACATATTTCAAAACAACAGTTTTAAAAAAATGTAGACGCGTTTTATTTGAAATAGAGTTTTAATCTAAATAATTATCATGTTAGTACCCTATATTACTATAGTAGTTTATACTTAGTTTATTGTATTACTACTATTTTACCTCGACTTTCATATTTGATTCCACCGATATCTTGAACAATGAAACGTTGACAAAGAAAAGTGAGCCAGATGAGCCGACTTAGCAGGCTCGTGCGATATCGAGAATGGCCTTCCGCTATGTAATTAGAATTGAAACGGCTTCGTTAAAGAGTCAATGCCGGGAATCCTTTTAACTAAAGTCAAAAGCGATCGTTCGGAATGATACCGCTTTGTAGTTTATTTTGTAGTAAGAGAGCAATAAACTCGCCTTATATTAAAAGTAGAAAAGGAAAAGTTAGTTTAAAATGTTGTGTTAGAAAATAATTTGTATTAGATACTTTCCTCTCTTATTTCCGTTGTAATCACCAAAGATAATTTTATTTCAGGTAGTGATAATAAACGGAGAGTTTATTGATTATATTAAAGCTCAGTTTAATGTCAAACAAATTTGTTTTGTTAATTAGAAGTATATATCTTTATCTTGGTCAGTATCAGTTTGAGTTCTCATTCTGCTTTTGATATTTACTGTTTTTGTATGTTTTCTATGAATATATGTATAAAAGTGCATACAACATGCTTATGCTCAAAATTTAAATGCGAAATACGTATCCATCCATTTCTTCTAATCTAATGTTCGTTAAAGACTCCATGAAACATATTTCAACATGGCTGCGTTTTAATTCACTTCGATACAGGAGTTCAGCGGACGAATACATAGACATTCCGCTAAGCAAAGCCGTCGACCTGTTCGACGTCAAAGGCTTCGATAGGAGTAAAGCCACTGTCCTATACATTCACGGCTTCATCGAGACAGCGCAGCAGGAGAGCATCAAGGTAATTGTTTTAGCTCTATTTATAACGCACATATCTTGAGGCTTCATTAGTAATCGTGTTACGCCTGTTCCTCACATCATACAGTTTCAACTTATTATTATAGAAAATATTTCTTGAACCCCGTCTTTTATTAACGATGCTATGATTACTATTAACCATTATATGTAATTCTATTCGATATGAAGATGATAATGTTTATATAATTTATTAAATTACAAATAACTTAACCAAATTTTGTACATATAATTTCGTCTAACAACAGTTTTTAAACAGAACATATACAATAAGTTTTACATTTAAGGGACAATATTCTTGCAAATGGAACGTTAAGCCTCGCTGATACCATTGCTTGTGTAAGAATAATTCAATGCACATATATCTCAATTTACAGACTTAACTCTCCCGCTCACTATTTTAGAGAAACATGACAATATTCCTTATAATTTTACTGAAACAGAATTATATGATACTTGCCTACCATGAAACATTATTACATAATTATGAGTGTATGAGAATAAATATTCATAGTACACGTACCCACAAAAAGCTTTAAAGTAAAATCATAATCCGATGTAACACCGTTTTACTATAAACTGGAATAAGGAGAAAACGTTATATATAAACATTATTGTAACATTCTCCTTGTAACTTTTGTAATCTGTCGAATGTATTAAATAGTATAAAGCTATGTAATCGACGTGACAAAACTTATACGTCCTAATCCATAATAAAGGTTTTCACTAGAACCAAAAAATGTATAAATAAAAAAATATTCACAAAATGAAAATGTGATTTAAAACATTCGCTGTATTTTTCTTTTTGACACAGAGCTTGCAAGTATTAACTATCTATAACTTTTTTACCACTATATTATATTGAAGATATTAAAACACAATCCGCCGTGCGACTCCCATTACCTCTCGGAAAACTAAATGACATCGATTTTTTTAAATATCTTTTGTATTTTTCTACATGTAATAATAAAGATATACAGTTTCGTCACGATGTTTTACTGTACCGCTGCGAGCATAGTAAATGAGCACTTAAAATTCCATCAATTTCATCAATACCTCTACCGGTTTTTGACCTCAGCTCACGTTTTTTCCTGCCATTCCTTTCAAATCTGTGTCCATCGCCACTCCTATTTTGGATAATATGTATTCATACTATCTTTTTAAAAGTTCAAGATACCTCCTTAATAGAAATTTTACGCAAACTATATACGACAAAAACCGAAGCTTAACTTTTTAGGATTCTTAACATGGCTGGTTTTTGTTTACGAACTGTACAGAAAACAAGGCATGCATACATTTTTTTTCAATATTTGATATGAAAGACATGATCTACTTTTTAGAAGCGAGTGGAAAATTTTAATAGAACTAGTTTCACAGTCGCTCGAGGTCATTGTATTACGAAAGCATATGCTATACGAGTTTTATGTGAAGAATGTAAGATGTGCAATATAAAATATAATTAAGACTGCGTGCTTAATTAGTGTACATTTTACATTTATGTCAGGTTGTAAGGCAGGGTTAAATACTAAATCTTCCCATAGTGCCATTATGAAAACAATTTGTGGTCAAATAATTATAAGCTTTAAAGATAAAAAAAATACAATACAATTCGATGTTTTTGAATCAGTGATCAATTTAAATACATTTCATATTAAATCATTACTGTAACTTGGCATTTGTACAAAATTATACATGAAATACTCATAATTTTCCCGTGGTTAAACAATGTGTATTACTAAAATTAATTTAATAAATTGGCACAGGTCATGGTCAACGCATATCTGGAGGCGAGACCGAACACAAATGTCTTGCTCTTGGACTGGTCTAATATGGCGCATGGATCCTATTTAGTCAATGCGGCCAGAAATACGAAAAAGGTGAGCCCTAGTACTATTACAATAGTCAATATAAATTCACAGAACAGAGAAAATATTTTAATTTAATATTTTAATTATCCTGTGATTTCATCGAGCAAAATTACGTAAATATCGCATTATATTCAACCAATTTAAAATAAAAGGAGGTCCTCAATTATGTACATTGTTATTGGTACGTATTTTTATTTATTATAACGTTGTTAACTCGGAACTCCGTCATTTATCTCGAATTTAAAAAAAATCGGTATGCGTTTGGTTTCGTTTAGATCCCATGTACCTAATTCCATACTCATTTCCATATTAATTTTTTATTGGCAATGTATCAGGGAACTCCTCAAAATCAAAATGAAAATGTAGTGAGTGAGATGTTTGAAGTAGTTTTTTTTTTTGTTAAAATATTTAATTACTTAATGTGAAGTGCTACTTTTTGAATTACATATAATCATGGAAAGTATAATGGGATTTTATTCCTTAAGCTCGTTAATTGTTTAAAAGTGGTTGCTAAAATTCGTTTTTAACCTGTTTTCGATTCCTACAACCGCTAGCTGCTGCCGAGATATATCTAGGTGCGCGTTTAAATCTTTACTTTTTCATTTTTACTAAACCGGCTCAAACTTTGTGGTACGTGACAGAGAGCTGTTATAGACTTATAAAAGACTCTGGTTATAACTGTTATTCAAGTTAAAATAATTTATAGACCGTTATATAACTTTTTTAACTATGGAAAGTTTTAAAGTTACCTGAGAGAAATTCCAAAGCGCTTTTTTAAAATGCAAATTATTTTTGTAACGGTGTTAGGATAGGAGAAATTGAAGCGTTTTAGCTGTTTTTATCACTTAAATAAAATCCCATCTTTTATGTTTAGCCACTATTTTGTGAAGTTTTATTTATCATAAATATTAAAAAAAACTGATGATCAGGATAAAAGAAATATCTGAAGTGTTTTTTTTTTTATGTAATAATTTATTCATTGCATAAGGAAGTTTATCAATACAGCCATTAATATTTGTTAGAATTGTACAAAATTTAATAAAGTCATCCATACAGATTATATAATTAATTATTGATTTTTATCTATATATAATTGATTTTTTATTGTCATCAATTTTTTGGTGATCAGTTATGTGATCTGCCGTAAACAAGAAACCACTTCATGTTGCTGTATTGCCTGGTTAGTCCAGTAGACAATTCCTCCACTCTCATCACCCCCGAATTGGACATGCCCGGAACTATAATATGGAACTGTTTTGTAATAAAAGTACATAATTGTATAAAAGTTTATGGTCTCGGATTTACAATGGACGAGTGAATGGTACTGTAAATAATGAGGACAAAATGAAAATTAATATACAAATGTATTCATCAAATTATCAATAATGGTTATAGAAATTATGCCAATATTTAAAGCACATTTCTCTTTACAAATATGTAACATAAACAATCTATATTTACACGTTATATACACAGATTCCAAATTTTCCTTTGATGCCGCAAGCGTAAATATTAGAGCAAATTTTGAGGCATTTTGCTTTCATTTGTTGTTTTGTATTTGTTAGACCAAATTTTAAGTGTAAATGAACCTCTTCAACTACGATAGACACTGAACAGAATATCATCAACTTAACGGATGAACATAATTCGCGTGCTAAATTAAATTCTATTAATCTTCTTCTGACACAACCTAGAACTATTGCAATACTTATACAAACATAAATAAATTCAACGCTTTAAAGCCGTGAGTGGCATGCGGTTTACGCAGAATTTTTAAACCGGTTTAATATGCATTCTTCATCACATAGTTCCTTCTATAAAAACACGCATGTCATCAGGAGACGTGTAGAAGCTGTAGTTATTTGTTGTGATACTGCAATCTAATCATTAAATGATTTTTCACATTTAATTTAAACAAAATCGGATCCTCCAAATGCCTACTACTAAACTTAAGTCTATTTAAGAATTTAGTTTAGAAAGCATTTTCTATTACGAGACCCTAAAAACTATTCTGTCACTTAGACATCAACAACTACTTGATAAATAATAATTAAAACCATTAGCAAATTTCGGATTACTTAGAAGAGAACTGACTAAGGTAACGTCTGAACTATTTTAAAATGACTCCGGACTCTTAAAAATCGTTTTTTTTTTTTTCTTTGTAATTCAGGAGATACGAATCTCTTTTGTCTCCTCAATAATTCTCGTGAAACTCGAGAATACCTTTATTATGTAAATGTGGCAGTAACTCAATGCGGCTTACCTGATATACAGATATGTCTTATCTGAGAATACTACATTAGGTTGATCTCTTCAGAGAGAATTACGATTTGCACTGAACCAACTTGAAAAGAACCCAATGAACTTATTTTTAAATAATTTATTTACTTATTTGTTTAACTTAATTAAATGCTACATTAATATTTTAACTAAAATTTAGTTAATCCCTGATTGATGATGATATATAAATAGCCGTTAGATAATACGCGAATGCTATTGAATTTTTACAAAACTAACTAACCTTCTTAAGACCTTTGAAAATCTGTAAAACGTATACACATTTCCCAAACAAACCATCGTTTCTTTCAGGTTGGAGCCACAACAGCGGAATACCTTCACAAGCTGACAGAAGCCGGCTTACAGTTGGACAATCTCCATTTAATAGGGCATTCGCTTGGAAGTCACGTAGCTGGATACACAGCGCGTGAACTGAGAAATAAATTCAACAAAACTGTCAAAAGGTAATTATGATTTTATGCAAACTTGCTGTATAATATTATTTCTATATAAACAATTTAAATTTTCTGTGGAAGCACCACAGAAAACTGAAATTATTAATTAAGCAAATCAAGGTTAAATTGGATGTTCTACAACCCAATTTATTGTCATGATTCATATGAATTCATGAAATACGACAATGAAACAAATAATCCGCTGCCGTGTCTACTGAACCAAATAATTGTTTACAGTATGTCTCTGAACTAAATGGTCGTGTAACTTCAAATTAAGAATATTAAAATTGTTTTCAAACTTAAAAAAAGTCTAATGTCGTGACGAAGAATGAATAATTAAAAAAAACGAAGATTAAAAAAATAGCAATTTATTAGCTTAACGAGTTTCCTGATTCGCGCGTTGTCAGTAAAACGACACAACTTCATAAAAAAGTTGTGAACAAGGAAAAAACTATGTCGTGATTGCAACAAACAAAAAAATACGTCTCTTAGTCATTTATCTACAATATCGAATTTCTTTTCCGAAATATTCAGATTGTAAGCAAATTCTTTCCAGTGGCTCTCGTATGTCGAATTTGTTGCGGGGAAATGTAAATGAAACATGTCAAGACCGTTGAATTCTATTTCGAATCCCCCTCTCCACATTTACTAAACGCGCGGCCTCGTCCCGTCGACTTTTCTCTTGACATTCATCTTAGAAGTGTCCATTTTAAACATATATTATAAACATTATATTTTATACAAAAACACGCAAACTGTGTATAATTTTGTTCCCTTATCGAGCAAAAAGTGGCAGTCCTCGTCGGCGATCCATAGTCTGACGTCGTCCCAGGCCATGTAAAACCTGCTTTTCAACGCAATATCGTTGTTTTCCTTCTTGGGGGAATCGCTGGTCAAAATTCCATACTTTTTCTTGAAATAGCACAACCACTTCTTTCTACCGTTGAACGTTACGAAGGCGCTTTCCTTCGTAAAGAACTCTGCGATGTTCTGCAGCAACTTATCGGACACTTGCACATTGTTGACCTGTTGACTTTGGACAACACCATTATCTTAGCACACTGTTCATGAACTTCTTGTCCGCTTATCGCCCGTAGAACTGCTATCTAGCGTGCTTCAACTATGGGACGAATTTCTATCGTCTTTTCGAGTAAAACGTTCTGGAATAAGGGGCTGAATTAGAATCGTCTCTTTATAAAAATGAACCAGAACACAAACCTTATACTATAGAGTAACAATATAAAACAAAAATTAGTACAGGTTTCAAAAATGTCAAGACAAAACGTTGACAATCATGACGTCAACCGAGTAATCGTAACAATATGGAATGTTACTGATGGTAATAGAGAAGTAAAAAAAACATAAATGTCTTTGAAGTGACGTGCGGTTATTTTACTTGTCCGTGGTCTGTGTATCAGCGATTACTTTGCTTTGGAAAACGTTTTATATAGAGCTTAGAGTTTTGATCTAGCTGACTGCACTTTGTTTATTTTAGTCATATCAAGTTTAAAGTTAGTTTTATAGCAGCAACGCATTCAGTTTTTATGGTCTTCCAACAATGTAACTAAACTCTCTGAAGAATAAACCCTCAAAGTTACCCCACTCTTGTTTTGTTGTCTGAATTACATTGGTTTCGTACTGATATACATCTTCCAAAAAACGTATTTAACTTCTCCCGGACGATTGAACCATATATACCCATCGAAAAAATATTTAATTCGTCATCACCCGTTTCTTGAAAATGTTTTTACGGTAGACCATATGTGCCTCAAGACGTCATCAAATTTTATGATGTCAGCGACCACCACTAGGAACTCTTCTCTATTCTGCACCAATCTACAAAGACTGACGGCGTCCTTGATGTCTGTCCATTTTATCAAATTGCCACTTCCCCGTTTTCCTGCCATTTTTCCTTCAAGTATATTTTTTTGTATGTTATATTTCTCATGTCTGTATATATGTCCAAAATATGCGGTTTTACGTTTTACATTTTTACGGTGTAATAGTTACCAATTTTCGAGCTGTTTCTTCATTCTATTAAGTACTTCTTCATTCGTTATTCTATCTCTCCATGAAATCCTCAACATGCGCCTGTACAGCCACATTTTGAAGGCGTTAATTTTTGATTCGGTATTTTTTTTCGGTATTTTGATGATTTAGACATCTTTTTTAAAAACGTTAACTAGTAATAACGACAAATAGCCGAGTAATTAATAATTGATGTTCTTTTTAAAAACTTTTAAAAGTATAAAAAATATACAAAAGCATTTCTTTGGGGGGCGCACTTACTATAAAAATAACGCTAGTTAAAATAAAACTATAATATAATATAACGAAATCAGTGATAAAACTGACATATCAAAGAGAATGTAATCACTACGTGTGACATATGTCTATAGAAGTGTCTACTCTGCCACCAAAGAGAATGTAATCACTACGTTTAAGAGACGGGACTTCCATACTAGCCAAAAATATCAGTTTACGCGGCACTCCAATACCAACCAAACCACAAAGATGTCAAACAACAAGAGTACCAACGTAACGAGACAAATAGTGCTTAACCAAGCTAGCTTAGCTTCTTATCGATATCGATAAAATATACTAGGTAGAAAACGAGGTTTCCACAGTATTTTTTTATTAATTTTAGGTAAGTATCGAGTCCGTATTTATGTCCAATATTGATGAGGGGATATTTGGTACTAATACAAGATTGGACTTAAATGCGGACCCGAAATAAGATAAAAAACGGTTTCTGATAATTCAAATAAAATTTTATTACTGAAATGAAATTTATTTCTTGTCTCTTGATTCTTCAGCCCACAGCTGTTCTCCTGCTGTACACGAACCTGAAATAATTGAAACATAAAAATAGAATCAAAATCCAAAAATCATTTTAGTTTTCTTGCGTACTCAGCGCACGAAAATAATTATATGCCGTATCAATATTACAGAGATTAATGTTTAAAAATCCTGCAAAATTCACCTATTCAAATCCTTGCTCATTTATGTAGGCACAATATTCAAATATGTAAAACTTTGTGCCTCTACTCGTTCACGCAACATTTTATTCCTTTTTTTTTTTTTCAATGATAAACATTAACGTAGTTATCGATATGTGGATATTACAGTTGCAGTACATCACTAGCACACAATTTAAATGAGATAAATTTGTTAATTTTATTTGTTCTTAGCCTGCTCTACTTAAATATGGCTGCAAAGTATCATATTTAAGTGCTTACATGGGCTTCATCTAAGGGAAATCTCGCCATAAACATCCTTTTTTCAAGGTTCGAATGACTTTCTCGATTTTCACCAATTTCACAGGTAATAAACCGTCTTTTTGGCATTTTGAATTAAAAGTACAACTTTGATCACCTGTCAATAGTTTTCGTGAGAAAGTTTACTCTAAACAATTTAAATTTACAATGAAATAAGCATTTATATTCAAAATACGCGGTGCAAAATTAAGTTTTGACAAACAACATGGCAATTCTTGTATTGCAAGAAAGAGAAACCGCATTGTGGGAGAGTGATAGCAATGTCCGCCATTATTTGCCGCGTAAAGTTCATAGAAAAATTTTTTGTTCTTTGTTTCGCCAGACTGTCTGCCACTAGTAACTATTATTATCAAACGTAAACGTAACGTATTATTATTAAACGTAGTGATTACATTCTCTTTGATTATTATTTAATAAAAACTAATATACTGCCACTAGTGGTATGTTAAGATATAATGTTATTAGGTCAATAATATTTTATACAAATATGAAGTAGTTATGACACTAGCGCACCTAAACTAAGGCGCTCAAATTACGTCAATTGGTGGGTGTTCATATTATTAGCATATCTGCAATTTCTTTCCACTTCATTTATAATTATTTAAACTTCTCGCTACAAGCTAAGCATATCAGGGAAAACTCTACAATAACGATGCTTTCTACTTTAAGTATGTTTATCAGTTACTTAGTAATTAATATATTTATTATTCAAGTATAGTTAGCAAACTTAAACATCTTGCTTGAAATTTGTTAAAGTTATATATAAACATGTTTCAAATAATAAATAAAAATTTGGAAAAAAGAATGAAATGAAGAAAGCTATGACACGTTTTTCATCGTGAAACCGTAACGTATTTCGCTAAAAAAACATTACGAAACAACCCGACAATTAGTCTTAATACTTCCACCGAACGATATTTATATGAAAAATCATTGAATATTACAGGGTGACTGCACTCGACCCAGCCTTCCCGGCCTTCTATCCAGACGGCGTGGTAATGGAACACGTGAACGAAAACGACGCCGAATTTGTGGACATCATACACACAGATGCTGGCGGTTACGGAGCGCCAGTGCGCACCGGGACAGCTGACTTTTGGCCCAATGGCGGGAAAAGAGTGCAACCGGGCTGTCCTCGATTCGCACCGATACCGCTCTCCGATGAAAGTAAGTAGTCTCCAAAAGCGTATTTAAACTATATATATATATATATATAAATGAAAGCTATTACCAAAAACCTGAACACAATAAAACAATGTAGATAAAAGACGTTGAGATTTTCGTCGGTGTGACAATCAGCCGGTTAGCTTAGTGGTTTAAGCGTCTGGGCGCGAATCCCGCAGACGTGGCTTCGATTCCCACAGCTGCGAAAAAGTCGTATATTCGTACTTTTTCCTACTAATTTTAATAAAACCTAACTGTTTCTTGTATGCACGCAAAGGCTAAAACCTAGTTATATTAAATTGAAAAACGGAGAACATCTTAACGAAATAATAAAACTGCTGATCTCACGTCCAATCGGTTTATACAACGACTTTTGGATGTCCAAGACATGCAAGTGCAAACTCAGGGTGAAGTTCGTAATGATTTTTAATCTTTACAGCAATGTTTGTCCGAAAACACACTAGCATAGCATTATATACACATTTTATGTTGTTATATTTTATTTTGTAGATTTGTGTAGTCATTGGCGTTCATGGAGATTTTACGCGGAATCTGTACGAAACCCAGAAGCGTTTCCTTCTTCGCCTGCGGAATCGTACCATAAATTTAAAGAGAATTCCACACCAGAAGTTGGTATGGTTTATATGGGCGCAAACTGCGATCCAAGGTAATTCTCATGTATATGTTACTTCTTCTTTTTTCTTTTGTACTTTCTGCGATTTAATGGTTGGATCAAAAACAAGGTCAGGGTTTTTTTTACTTTTTATTCGTTTTATAAATATTACCGTTATAAATAAATCTGGAAAATAAAAATCTTGACTCCACTTTGCGACTTAATTAAACACATGCAAGTTGATTTTGTATTATGTAAACTTCTACTGTTGATCAGATTTAAAATTTCTGTTATTTTACACGTATTCATTTTGCTCATTATATAATAATTAAATTAAGTTCATTTTATAATAATTAAATAAAGTTGACATTGAATTTATCAAAACATTAATTGCAGTGCAAAAGGCTCGTACTACTTAACGACTAACGCTGAGACTCCTTATGGAAAAGGTATGGAAGGTTTATACCCGAAGCAAAAAAACACTAAGAAGAAATGATGTTATGGAAATCCATAAAAAAACTGGAAATATAGTTACGAAAGAAAAAAGTCTATGATGAATATATAAATGTAAATCAACTGGATTGCAAAGACACTTCACTATGGATGTTCTAAAGTGTAGAAACGACGGTAAATCAATGTGTTCGAAATATGCCCTTAATTTTTCATATGCGTTTAGTTGTAAATCATATTCATGTACCTGTACCTTCTATATAAGAGAATATTATTATGTAAGAGTATGTACTTATTATTGTTTACTTCGCTCGACACATTGTTGACCCATTTGTTGGTAATTGTGTTTACCATCCACACGTTGGTGCCAAAGGAACCGTCATGTTAGTATCTGAATCCACGTGTTTTGCAAACAATATAGAGTATACCAACGTATGGACCTAATATTATACGTATTTCATTCCTGAGAATACTAAAAGCGATTAATACGAACGCTAAGTAGAGTGATGCTGACCAATTTTGTAATAAGCGTTAGAAATTAATTAAGATTATTAGATATAAGTTAGATCTGTTTAAACAATAATTATAGACTTAGAATTCTTTTAGTCTTCCGAAGATTATCAAAAATAGATAATTACTTATTTCTCGTAGTAGGAGGTACTTAATGTATCACAAATGTGGACGAGCGTTCACATGTAACTCAATAGTACTCAAATATCATCACAAAACATTTCATAAATCTTATATCCGGCGACTACTACGATGTCATTAGTCCACCTGGTAAGTGGAAAAGAACCAACTTTAAAGTTTTCGAGGAGGAGCGAACTGGAACCATAATATGTTATAAGACTGTCAAAGATTATATACATGTTTTTCCATGTCTTGTATTGTATTGTGTGCTACGTGTTAAAACGTTAAATTTTTCACACTAATCTTGCATGTTATCAAACCCCATTATCAATATCAATTACTGTTTCACGGTTTATTATAGTATATGCACAATTGACAAAATCTACTTAGTAGAATCTTGTGATATATAAGGCTTTATAGAGTTATTTATGTTTGTTTTTATAATTAAAATATTAAGCAAGTAATCTCGAGTTCAAAACAATGAATGCGTTAAGTTACTGGTAAGGTATATAAGAATTCAGATAATTTCGGAACAAGATCCTCATTAATACATCCAACTTAAGTCTTCTATGGTACCATATTTTATTAAAAAGTACAACATGGCATTGGTATTAAGACGGCGAACTGGCGCATAGATAAGTATTGTATTTATGCACACGTATAAATAACACTTTAAATGTATAAATTATAAATCTTTGAAGGAACTATAGCTCTACATACATATATTCAATTCGCTATAGACGCAGACGCAATTAGCTTTCGATAACTCATTCGTACGTTCAACCTTGCCTACGGCTTGCCATATCGGATGATTATGATAAGTAGCCCGCTCCATATGAGGGGAATACCGTGAAATTATGCAGCATCCAAAAAAGTTCAACAATAATTGACGTTGACAATTTATTGTTACGCGTGAAACATACAGAGTGGTCAGCTTGCAAATATTAATATATTATAGAATATTGCTCAATTTCTTACATATAATATGTTCTTGCCGACCAAACGAAACTATTGGTCCGCAAGAACATATTTGTTTGTTTGTTTGTAATAAAACATTGTTTGCTTGTTGTTAATAAAACACTTAAATACCAATTTAGCCCAAATATCGTTTTGTGACGCAAGATATATTTAACTGCCGTATTTAAAAAACTGCCTATGTTCATATTCTTATTCTTACATTACGGGAATATATTAGACCTTAAAAAAAGTAGCGTTGAGATTATATAATACTCTGCCAACTTGATTCTAAGATTACGGTATTCCATAAAATTAGGCCCATGTGTAATACTGATGCATCGAATTGTTGTTCTATTAGACATGTGATGTATAATGGCTGTCAGAAAATTTGATATTATAAAATAAAATCACAATAAATTGATTTATTTCTTGGCTCTATTTTGTAACTACCTTTAGATTTTATTCAAGTCCCGTAGTGATATTAATTTATGTGATATGAGAAAAGGGGGAAAAGAGTTGGATGATAATGAAAATTGGTCATTGATTTCTGTCACATTTTATATATAAATCTGGAGGTTTGTTAAATTTTTATTGAACTGAATTTGATAAAGAACCTCCAAAAATTCAAACATTGGATTCCATGGAGGAAATAAAAAATAAATTACTGTCACAAAATAAAATTTAAACTAAATCACGTATATCCCCAGTTATTAAAACAAAATACAATGGTTTACTGGTAACAAAAACTAAACACTGGTAACGACAACAAAATATAATGGTAATTGTTTTACGACTTAAGTATATCGTCTCCTCAGTACAGCCACCGAACGTGCATAGAATTGCAATTGTTTCAAAATATTTATATCTTATATTATCACGATTTACACATTATCGACATGTTATCAACTGGCACCGGTAGTACTAATAATATCTTCTTCATCCTTCAACAACTCTGTTGCATACTTTATTCCCAAGAAAATAGATGCAATCACCGCTCCAGTAATAATTACCCTGCGAACAACACATCACGTAAACCAACCATCTAATATGAAATTATATTTTTAGAACTAAAGTACTTCGTTCTTTTATTATAAACTGCACTTTTTTACATGTTACAATATAATAGATTCAAAGTCAAAATTTCTTTATTCAACATAGGCTTATTTTAGGCTCTTATTGAACTTCAAAAAATACCACCAGTTCAATAAACTAGACCTGCAAAAGAAGAACCGGCAAGAAACTGCGGTCATATATATTGATATATAATTATTCAAGTATATACACAAAATTATTTTAATGTAATTTAGCAGGAGCCTGGGGTGCAAGTCCCCGCAGAGCAAGAGTCAGTGCAGAGCAAGAGTCATTTCCATACATCCTTGTCCTCAATGTATTCCTCGACATAATAAAAGGCCCTTTCCATTAATTTGGCTTTTACAAAATGTTTGAAATTACTTACACTTAATTGTTTGTGGATGTCACCTACTCTATTGTATAAGTTAATACATCTAGAAACGATTTCCTGGTTTTAGCTAGTCTAAACCTCGGTATTTCCAACGTATACCACGGCCCCGTCGCGATGTGGTATATTTTTTGGTAAAAAGTTGTATGTTATTTTGTACATACATAATGTTCTCAAGTATGTATAGCGACGGGAGCGTTAAGATGTTTATTTGTTTAAAAATATGCTGAAGCGACTCACATGGACCCAGGCCTTAGACAGCCCGTATCGCTTGCTTTTGCAATCGAAATATCGTGTCTAAACCAGAGCAGAACCTCAAAGTAAGACACCATAAGACATAATACTGTGAAAATAAGCATAATAAACTAATTTAGCTGTTGCCTCGTTTGTTAGTTGCCTGATCTTGCGTATGGCAAAGACGGCAGCGCTCAACTTCTTAGCAATTTATTTATATGAGCTCCCCATTAAAACTTGGAGTCAATGTATATTCCAAGGAATGCTGTTGAATCCTCAAGAGGTAGGATGTTGTCATCAATAAAGATTCCTGGTTAGTGAGACAGCTTTGATAAAGTAAATCTGATACATTTAGTCTTAGTGGCATTCAAAAGTAACTTATTGATCGCAAAACCAGCCCAACACGACACTTAGTATTTCATTTGGTTGCTCTAATGTAACATCTTTCCTATTGACCTTAAACAACAGTGAAGTGTCATGCGCAAACAAAACGATTTGAGACCTTTTTTCTACCACATATGGCAAATCGTTTATGTGTTCACTGAGGAACCCCCAATTGTACTATTGACCCCGATGACAGTATACCATTTATAGTTACTTTTCGTTCCCTATCGCTAAGATATGAGGAAACAAAATCAATGGCAGATTTTCGAATACCATGATATTCCAATTTCTTAATAAGAATCTTATGATCTTCACAGTCAAATGCCTTGGAGAGATCACAGAACAAACCAATTGTGTCATGGAACCCAAGACTGCAGGATATGGGAAATTAATTCTACTCATCAGTAGTTGATCTGCCTTTGATAACTCCGAACTGATGCTGGCTCAAAATTTCATATTTATTAAAATGAAATAGCATCAGTTCCAGCATTATTTACTCAAATATTTTACTTAAGGCTGATAAGATAGGGATGGAACGGTAATTAGCGGCATTTTCATTTGATTAAACAAGTTCTTGATTAAACAAGTCTACAGTCTGTGAGCACACCCTTAATAGCCCCAATCATTATATCAGGTCAGAGATACTTGCAAAGATGATTCGCGAGGGTATTGAAATTAATAAAACCAGCCAAGTGCGAGTCGGAGTCGGACTCGCGCGCGAAGGGTTCCGTATCATTATCTATAAAAACGGCGATAAAAATCATGTCTAAAATATTTTTTATTGTTTTTTAGTATTTGTTGTTATAGCGGCAATAGAAATACACCAGCTGTGAAAATTTCGACTGTCTATCACGGTTCATGATATACAGACAACAGAGTCTTATTAATTGAGTCTCGTTTTACTCTTTGGGTAAGGAAACCTAAAAACACCCTTATTTCAATAGAGAAGAGTTGGGCAACTCAAGCCTTGGGATCCTATTTAGCAATAAAATTAAACGAATCGCTACTGCAAGGCAAGATAAAATCAGGTCATTCTTCGTAGATCGGATACAAAATTAAGAATAATTTAAAAACTGACGGTCACCCATGTTAACTATGACATTCAACGACGTCCAATGCCTCAGTCTTTTCCGTGACCATGAACACTGAAAAGGGTTCGAAACCACGGGAAATCTTTACATAATTATATTTCATAAAAACATATTACACACGACATAAAGGACAATAACTTAGAACTACCTAAAACCTTGTATGGAAAAAGAAATATACAGTAAGAAGGAAATCGGCTAAATAATAAGTTACTCCATGTCAAAAATTTTGACTTTAGTTTCAAGAAAAAAATTAAAAATATTTTCATGGAAAGTTAACCCATATCTCCG